GCTCTATCCCACTGAGAGTTTTATCTGTGTTTCGGTGCCTCATCATCCATTCGCTCGTTCTCTGCCAACTTTTTACCTATCATTTACATCCACTCGTTGGACATACAGAGAATGAGATAGAGCCCGGCTCATCTTTCAGTTTCCATCAGTGATGGTTAGTGTTAACTTGACTGAGTCTAGAATCATCCGGGAGATGGGCCTCTGGGCATGCCTGTGAGGAATTATGTTAACTGAGATGGGAAGACCCCCTCCCCCCCACGGGTGTATCTTTCCCTGGCTGGGATCCTGGACTGTGTAAGTGGAGAAAGAGGGCTGAGCAGCAGCATTCATTCCTCTTTGCTTCCTGATTGTGGTCCTGTGACATGACCAGCAGTCTCAAGCTCCTGTTCCCTTGACTTCCCTATAACTAACCCTTAAACTGTGAGCTGAAATAAACCCTTTTTCTCTTGAAGTGTTTTTGTCAGGGTATTTTATCGCAGCAAGAGGAAAAGAAACTAAGACACCATCTGAGCTTCTTTCTTACCTTTGTCTACTTGGGTCCATCTCTGTCCCTGTCTTCTCTTCAGGTTTCAATGGAGTTGGGTATGTATAGTTGAAGTCTGACCTGCAAAACTACATTAAGGCCATGGCAGAGCTGTCCAAGCTCAGGGATCTGTGTGACCAAACAAGCACAACTTTGGAAATGGAAAGTGCTTCTTTCTTCTCCCTCTTATCCTCTTCATCCCTGGTCACTAGCTCATGGAAAAGGCCCTACTATGGTGTTTTTCCTCAAGGCCCCAGATGAGGCCCATGCCCTCTCTCCCAGATGAGCACTCACCTCCTCTCCTGGCTGATTTCACCTTACATACCCTCCTCTGATGTCAAAGGTACAGCAGGCGATGCAGTTCAGACTACATACTGTCAAGCATTTTAAAACTATACTGGGAGCACTAGCCTTGGCTTCTCTTAAGAAGTCTCAGGAAAGGTACTTACTGACCATAGCTCCTGGCACTGTGCCTCATTCAAGGCAGGTACTCAATAAACACTTGTCTTTTAAAAAATATATTTTATTTATTTGTTGTTTGTTTGTTTTTATGTGTATGAGTGTATTATCTGTATGTATGTAAGTGCACCCGTTTCATGCAATGTCCAAGGAGGTCAGAAGATGGCATCGAATTCCCCTGGAACTGGAGTTACAGATGGTTATTAGTCATCATGTGGGTGCTGAGAATTGAACCTGGGTCTTCTGCAAGAGGAACCAGTGCTCTTAACTGCTGAGCCATCTCTCCAGCTCCAGCATTTGTCTTTTTAAATTGTTTTATCATTTCATTTATTGTATGTGTATGTGTGTACACATGTGTCATGGTGCATGTGTGGAGGTCAGAGGACAAATTTCGAAAGTTGATTCCCTCCTTTTACCACGTGGGTCGTGGATTAAACTCAAGTCATCAGGCTTGGTGGCAAGTGCCTTTACCCAACTGAGTCATCTTGCCGGACCCAACACTCATGCTTCAGGTCTTTTCCTCATGCATGTGGTAAGCAAACAAAAGCAGCCAGCTCTTTGGAGGCAGTAATGTCAACAATGCTCACCATGGCTCACCCAGGGCCAGTCTGGAAGCCTTTTCGGGCCTTTTCTAATCCTTAAGTTTAGTTTCTTTTTTTAAAAAAATGTTTTTTTAATCTGCATATGGCAACACACACTTTTTAAAAAATGTTTATTATTTTTAGCCAGGCATGGTGGCACACACCTTTAACCCCAGCATTTGGGAGGCAGAGGCAGGTGAATCTCTGTGAGTCTGAGGCCAGCCTGGTCTACATAGTGAGTTCCAGACCAGCTGGGGCTACAGGGAGACCCTGTCTCAAAAAGACAAAAAAAAATTTATTTTTATGTGTATGAGTGTATTACCTGCATGTATGTAAGTGAACCCATGTTATGTAATACCCACGGAGGTCAGAAAAGGGTATTGGATCCCCTTGAATTGGTGTTACAGACAGCTGCCATGGGAATTGAACCCAGGTCCTCTGCAAGAGCAGTCAGTGCTCTTAACCTCTGAGCCATCTCTCCAGCCCCAGGTTTAACTGCTTTGGAACTCCCCATTCTCCACCCTCCATCCTTCCCCAGTAGTTCTCTCTGCCTTTAATTCAAAACATTCAAGAAAGGATCTTTTTCTCTCCATCCACCGTGGAGCCCAGCACTTGGTGTTTCCAACAAAAATGTCTGGTTAATGGGTTGGTAGATGAACGGAATTACTAGACTAGAAGGAAGAATAAAAGAATTATTCCTAGGATTGTCTTGGAATGGTATCCTCAGAGCACAAAGGCACCCACATGTTCAAGGGGTTAAGATCAGTAGGATTCCATTGACTTCATAGGGTGAAATTTTTTCAAAGTTGTTTTCAAAAGTTTATGACTTATAGACTAGAATATTTGTTAACTTTTAGTCAAAACATGGGAAGGCACAAGGGGGATGCTACAATTTGGCACACACAAATACTTAGTTGCTAGGTAATACATTTTGGAAATGGCTCAATGTATTTTTTTCGACACTTAGAGGGTCATTATTTTCCCCAGTTGAAAGTAAAATGTATCTGCTATCACTATCAGTATAAGCTTTTTTTAAAAAAACTGGGAGAGCTTTATGATTCTACCAGAGCTTCTAACTCTAAGCTCCATGCTTGAATTATGGGAAGCTTTAAAAAAAAACCTTGTTGCTCAGGCTGCCTGGCAGATTAGTTACCATTATAATCTCTGGCAATGAGACAGGCAGATCTGTAATTTGTTCTTTTTTAAAAATTGTGTAGATTGAACCCAGGCCTTGAGCATTATGAGGCAAGCACTCTATCACTGAGCCACACCACACTTCGGCATCCATATATGAGTGTGTATGTGTGTGTGTGGGGTGGGTGGTTTGTGCTATGGTAAATGCACATGAGTGTGTAGATGCATGCACCCATGTACACACATGCAGAATCCAAAAAAGCTGACAGGTGTCTTCTATTGTTCTCTACCTTGAGACAGGGTCTTGCTCTGTGATGGCTAACCTTGGTTGTCAACTTGATCGGATCTGGAATCAGCTAAAAGGCAAACTGTTGGGCACAGCTGTGTGGGTCTTTTGTTGATTTGGTTATATAAAGTAGGAAAGCTTACCCTAAATATGGGTGGCACCTTCTGATGGCAGCCCAGATAAAAGGAGGTTGAAGAAACGTTGCTTTTACCTGCTTGCCTCTGCTCTGGCTGACAAGTTCGTCTAACCTGCAGCAGTGGCTGTGGTGGCTTCTGGGCCTGCTCCTTTGCTGATATCAGGAGCCAGCTTCTTCCAGCTTCTTCCAGCTTCTAACATGAACTGAAGACCAGCAGCTCTCCAGGAATCCTCTGGGCCTTCAGCACCAGATCGGAACTGCTGAAGCACCCAGCCTCGAGGTCTGAGCAACTCCAGGGGCTTGGCCTCTCCAGTGAGAGAAGCCATGGCTACACTACCAGGATCATACTGTGTAAGCCAATCTAATGAATCTCCTTTTTTTTTTTTTTTTTTTTTGGTGTTTTTGAGATAGGGTTTCCCTGTAGCCCCAGCTGTCCTGGAACTCACTACGTAGACCAGGTTGGACTTGAACTCACAGGGATCTACCTGCCTGAATCTCCTTTTAACATATATTCATTCTCTCGGTTCTGTTCCTCTAGAGAACCCTGACTAATACAGTCACTGAACCAGGAGATCCTTAGGCTAGAATGACTGGCCAGCATGCTTCCAGGATGCTTCTGTCTCTACTTCCCAATGCTGAGGGCTGCAGGCATGAGCTTTTATGTGGTACTGGGAATTCAAAATCAGGTTCTTGTGTTTGTACGGCCAGCACTCTTACCCACTGAACTATCCTTCCAGCATGGCATCCATAGTTTTAAAGCTCCCCAAGTAATTCCCATGTGCAGCCAAGACTGAGAATACTATTCTAATATGCATGCATCTGAGACACAATAAGGTTTACTATACAAATGAAGGTTTGTGTTCTCTGTGTCCATTTGAAACTACCCTCAGCTGATCCCTCCCCAAATCCTCTCTCTCTCTCTCTCTCTCTTCTCTCTCTCTCTCTCTCTCTCTCTCTCTCTCTCCTCTCTCTCTCTCAACAGGGTCTCCCTGTAGCCCCAGCTGTCTTGGAAGTTGCTATGTTGACCAGGCTAGCCTTGATCTCACAGAGATCTGCCTGCCTCTGCCTCCCCAGTGCTGGGATTAAAGGTGAGCACCACAACGCCTGGCTGCTTTACACTTTCTTTTGTACTAGCAATCAAGAACGGCTCATAAGCTGTCCATGAGGATTCAAATAAAAGTGAACTACACTATCATTTTATGAAATCTGGGCTTTCTACTCCTGAACTTTGAATTGACCTTCCATGCCTAAAACCAGTTTTGGGAACTGGGAAAAGGAGATAGGTGCAATAAATGGCCAGGAGGCTTGCAAACTACCCTGAACCAGAGCCATGTAATTTCAAAAGTCAGTGGAATGTTGCCAAGCATGTGGTGTATGCCTTTAATCCGAGCACTCAGGAGGCAGAGGCAGGCAGCTCTCTGTGAGATGTACTCAGCCTGGTCTACATAGGAACTCCCAGGGCTACAGGGAGACCCTGTCTCAACAAAACAAGCAAAAAGTAATTATAGGAATGTTGGAACCCCATAGTGGATGGCTGCCCCACCTTTGGGTTGGTGAACATGCCCCTTTCTCTTGAACTCTGATCGCTACCCAGGTAAAATTCCCAGCCCTGCTGGGCTTGCAGAGGAGGTCCTATATCCATCAATTTCTCACTGCAGGAATTGTCTTCTACTCTAACAGTGTGGTTCCACTGAATCATTTAGAAAGTGTCTGTGGATGCCTCTGGGGATTTGGAGGTTGTTGGGTATGGAGGAGGACAGATCTCACCACCTCATCTTCCCATCCCCTCATTCTTCAATACCCACTAACTCTGCAGGGCTCCTTACAGTTGAACCCAAAGACTTACACACCACACCATCAGATTGCACTTATGTATTCAGTTTCCTATGTGCTTAAACAGCACAGGCTATGGGAAGGGGAGAAACGCTGGAAGAGCTGCCTGATGGGAGTGCTTGACTTCTGCTAAGACATAAGTTCTTACATACACCTTACAAGATCATCTTCCTACAGGAAAATCGGCTTCCACAGGGGTCGCAGGGGTCGCAGGGGTTACAAGGGTCACAGGGGCTGCAGGGGTTACAGGGGCTGCAGGGATTGCAGGGGTTGCAGGGGTTGCAAGGGTTGCAGGGAGAGGTGCAAGGGTAGCATGGAGACTCGATCTTGACACAGCTCCCGAGCCCATAGGAGTATGTTACGTCTTTCTCATCTACACATGGCGGCAAGCTGAACTCTTTGCAGATGTTCATGTAGCTGTACTTTTTGGATCCGAGGCAATCGTACCTGTTCTCCCTCTCCGCTGATACACACACCTTTCCATCCTTCACTCGCACCTTGACTTGATCAGGTTCAAAGCCACACACATTCACTGATCCCAAAATGTTACTGCTACAGCAAGAGGAGGCCAGGAATCTATTTGTTGTTCTTCGAAGCCTGGAATGGAAGAAAGGGAAAGAAGAGAGATCAGACCTCAGGACTCAGAGATAGCCTGAAAAGCAATTTTTTCGTCTCTATTTTTTTAAGTAGAAATATTAACACTAGTTATTATGAAAAATCAAAACTTACAGAAATACATAACCTAGAGTGAGATCCCCTCCCCATATCCCCAGCCCTGTTGTGAATCACTCTGCTTCAGGTCAACTTCTGCTGACAATAGATGTCTGTCTGATCTTCCAGATCTTTCTCTTGTGTTTAAATCCCAGCTCCTCCTGTCACTAATTATGGAAACTTAGGCATGTTCTTTAACCTCTCTATGCCTCATTTTCCTCATCTGTAAAATGGAGACAATCTATCATAGCACTGTTGGAGGATTAATGAAATGATGGTATTTTACTTAATGTTGTGCTTGGCTCATTATAAATCCTTACTACCATTAATTATCAATATTGTTATCATAATTATATAGACACAGAGAGCTTTGTTTTTTATTTTTCTGGTGCTAAGGATCTGTAACTAAGCTATACCCTTAGCCCAACATTTAAAAAAATATTTTATTTATTTTTATTTTATGCGTATGAGTGTATTGCCTGCATGTATGTGAGTGCACCCGTATTGTGCAATGCCATGGAGGTCAGAAGAGGGCTTCAGATTCCCCTGGAACCTGGGTTATGGATGGTTCAGAGCTGCCATGTGGGTGCTGGGAATTGAACCCAAGTCCTCTGCAAGAGCAATCAGTGCTCTTAACTGCTAAGCCATCTCTCCAGCCCCCAACATTTTTTTAAATGAGATGTAACTAATAAAATGTTATTTGAATTCTGTATTTTAAAGATGGCTATCAACGTCAAGAGTAATAGTCTGCCTGTAGCCCTAGTTATTCAGAAAGATGAGGCTGGAAGGCTTCTTGAGCCTGAGAGTTAGAAGGCAGTCTGGACAGGAAAGCATGATCTTATTTCCAAATACAAAGCTACCAGCTTTAGGCTGCCACTGGACAGTCACACAGGCACTCCATCTGAAAACTCATTCACAAAAGAAAGGGCAGGAGAGCTCTGGCCCAACTCTACCCACTAGGGCCTAGCTCTTTTTTGGAGCAAGGAGACTGGAGGAGGCTATGGAGGGCTGATGCTGTGGAAATCTAGTCTGCCTGGTGTGTCTGTGTTGATTAGATACATAGTTATCCTGCAGGACACACTGCCTGGAATCCTACCATCTTGCAAGTTTTCTGGGCTTATCTTCCTAGTTCCTCATTCAGAGACTTCATGTTAATATCTTGAAATCACTCATGGAAGGAATACACCATGGCAAGTGGAAAAGTCTACAGGCAGGGCCTGCAGAGCTGAGAAGTGGGTTGCCAAACACCACCGCAGTGGTTCCCAGAGTGTCATCTTGTCCTGTTGTGCAAATCCTTTAGTAATGAAAATAACACAGCTCCCACTAATTGAGCAGTTAGAGTACATCAAAAGGTAGCAAAGACAAGTGCCCAGCAGAGCAATGCCTCTGGGACTGGACTATCTTCCCTTGCGGCTCTGTTCTGCCATCTGGACAAGTTGCTGATTGGACTTCCCTGTGCCTCGGTAAAACTGGGACGATAATTGCGATCTACTCGCTAGATGGTTGTGAGGCTTGCTAATACATGAAATATATTTGCAATGGTGACACACAGGATGGAAGGCCTTTGTCTCTTTTTTTTGCCTTACAATATACCATGTAAAGTCCTAAGCATGTTAAAAGCATTATTGTATTTAAACTTCTCAGTAACAAACTCTGTGGTGCCCAGGAGATTAGCATTGTATCACCTCTTCATGTTGAATTTTACTTAAGCAGTTCTTTCTTTTCATAAGTTATACAAATTCATTGTGGAAGATCCAGGAAATATGGATAAACAAAAAAGTTGAAATATTTTTTTAATACCCTAACCCATATAACGCAATATTTTGATAGATTCTCTCTCTCTCTCTCTCTCTCTGTTTATATGTGTTTACACATATACATAGATTGCTTTATATGTGCTTTTATAGAATCATGCCATATGTTTTGCTTTTAATTTGTGTTTTTTAAATAAGACTGTGGGATTGGTTTAACAATACAAATTACTTATTACCTTTGTATTGAAAATTACAAACTAAGACTCAGGGCTAATTACAAAATGACCAACTAGAACTCATTTCTAGAAGTCATTGAAATAAACAGAAACAACTTAAGCAATACATCAGATGATGGTAAGAGTCTTTCAGAGGGTGGCATGAAGCATAATAGTCTCTCTCTTGCCCTGTATGTCAGGGTAACATAGGTCATACCAAAAAGAAAGATAGAGGACCAGCCTCTTAATTACCCATTGCTGTTCTCAAAATTGTTATCAGAATTCTATAGAGACAGCTTTGTTTTTGTTTTTCCAATGCTAAGGATTTCTGGATAGGCAGAGAGGAGTTCACAAAGGTGTGGAAACCTAGACATGCACCTCTCTGGTAGATTGTGGCTTGACACAGAAGTAGCCAAAGGCACAAGCAAAAGGCCTCTCAGGACTCTCCCATGGTGTGTGTGTGTGTGCAGGGCTGAGAGTCAAACTCTTCTTCAGATGAGAAACATCAAATCCTGTCATGAAGGATGAGTGGAACTAGCAAGAGAGGGCCAAGAACTCCAAGCAGCTTTGCTAAGCCTCGGCTGTTCCTTCACGGCAAAACCTGCCTGCCCTCTCCACTGCAGGAGTCAGACCTGGAACTAGATCTACTAAGCAAAGCCAACCTTAGGCCAGTCTGCTCTTAGCTACAATATAATGTGTTTTATTGCGGGGCTCCCCCTTTCCCCTATTCCTGCCACTTTGGCTCCTTTGGCCTCAACGGCCGCTACACGGGGGTCCCACATTGTCAATGGGAAACTGCCTAAAACTTTCAGCCAGGTCAGTTTTTCTCTTGATTCTACATCAGGTTATGAGCAGGAATGTGTGGGTGTAGGGGAACTTTCAGGGACCAAATTTGACTCATCAAAGTCAACTCTGAACTTGGAACTTGACTCTTGTCTGGTGGGTTACTCACTATCCTAAATGAGATTTTCCATGACACTGCAGGGTCCTGGGCAAAGGGAGACAGCCTCCTGTGCTTGTTGCCATGGGGCAGGGGAAACTTGCGGACAACAGGGGTCTGTGTCTGTACACCTGCTGTCCCTTCTCCCTGGTCACAGGTTGTTTCACTTTTATGTCCAATCACACTCTTAAATGCCAAGCACCTTGGCCACAGTCTGACGAGTTACCTATGGAGCTGGTTTCACAAAGATAAATGTCAGCCCTGTGATAAAGAAAGTAACAAAGACACCAAGGACTCTGACAGAGCACAGGCAGTGGGCTTTCATCCAGACTTTATTGGGATAGTCTGCTTTTTCTCTTGCATTTAAAAACATTTCAATTCTATTCCTCCTCAACACCTCTTTCTCTTTTTCTTCACCTGACTTTTTCTACTGGTGTGTGTCTGTGTATTTGTGTGTGTGTGTGTGTGTGTGTGTATGTGTACATATGTGTGAGTGGAGGCCAGGTAGACATCAGCTATTTTCCTCTCTCTTTCCAACACACTTTTTTTTTTGAGATAGGGACTCCCTGTAGCCCCATCTGGCCAGGAACTTGCAATGTAGACCAGGCTGGACTTAATCTCTCAGAGCTCCACCTGCCTCTGCTTCTCGAGAACTGCCTCCACCTTATTTTTTGACACAGGCTCTCTCACGAGAACCTGGACCTCATCAATTAGGCTGGATTGACTGCCCAGCACCCCCAAGATCCTCCTGTCTTCATCTTCCCAGTGCTGGGGTTTTAGACATATGTCACTACACCTAACATTTTTACATGGGTCCTGGGATTTGAACACAGGTCTTCATGCTTGTTAAGGCAAACACTTTACCAACTGAGCCATCTCTTCCTCCCCTTCTCTACTTTCTTTTTCCTGCCTTTTCTCTCTTCTCCAGACTTTTGAAGGAAACAAATGTCACTCCGAAGCAGGGACTATGTTGTGTGGTCCAGGTGCATCCGATATCCCTTTCTCCTACAGGACTTGTAAAACACAGATGGCTGGTTCCTACCCGAGTACCAGGTTCATTAGGTCCGGTGTGCAGCTAAGAATTTGCCTTTCTACTAAGTTCCAGGTGATGCCACTAAAGCTCGTTCAGGGACCACGCTGAGAAGTGCTGAAAGGTGGCTATGCACATGGATTCTAGAGCTTCAAGTCTTTGCTCTACCATCTCAAGAACACTGCTCCTGAATTTTTTCCATCATCTATAAAACAACTAAAATAATAGCCCACTGGGGTATTAGGAGTAATAAATAAACAGGAAATGGTGCCTAGTTTTTACTCTATGAACTATAAGTCTCTATCAGGCTGTGCTAGGCTTTAACTTACATAGGCTTATCCTAAATCTGAGAGCTCAAATGACCAAGCCCCAAGCCTGTACATTTAACAATAAGGTTAAACCAAACAATAAAGATACATTTAAGACTGATGGTGTAGTTTAGCTGTAGAGTGCTTACTTAGCATGTGCAAGGGCCCGAGTTTGATCTCCAACACTGAAAATAAAAATATTGCATTTGACCTACGTGGACAACAACTCTACAGTCAAGAGATGATGGATTCTGAGGCTAAGGGTTTGAAGAGATCACAATAAGAGAGACCCAGGAGGTAGCTCCCTTCCACCTTTCAGTGGATCCAGAGGAAGCAAGGAACTATCTGTGGGAAAAGCAGCATTTCGTCAGCCAGAAAGCCTCAGCCTGACACCAGCCTAATCGTCAAAGACTAGATACAGTGAAAACCTCAAACTCAGTGTGGAAGTGAATCAAAAAATGAGAAAGGAGATATTTGCAGTTTTAAGATGGTGTCTTTTCTGGGGGGATTTTTCAAGGGAATTTCTTACTAAGAGTCCGGCTAGCCACAGGTGCATCTTGGGATTGATTTCTAGGTACCAGAAAAAGGTAAAGAGGTTGAGCCCAGTGGAGCTCGAGGATATAACCGCAAACTAAGGTGTACTTATTCACAGCGACTAGAGTTAGACATTCAGGGTCACTGTAGGTGCCAGGAATTGGTGGTGAACACCTTTAATCCCAAGCACTCAGGAGGCAGGGGCAGGCAGATCTCTGTGAGCTTGTGGCCAAACTGGTCTACATAGTGAGACCCTGTCACAATGAGTACCCATCAATTAGACAATAAACTCCTGTGGGTGGGCAGGACTGAGGGGCAGGGCTTTGTTCACTTCTCCGGCTTCCGCACAGGGCACAGGGCAACCAGTGAAGCCTGGGAGTGAATCAGATACAAACTTAACTAAGGCTGGTGGTGTGACTTCACCAAAGAAAACCAAGTTCTGTCACCTTGCTCCCGTTGAATCCAAAAAGTGAGAGAGTCAGGGCAAGTGCTCATGCTTGGTGTGCCAAAGATAACTTGGGAAAGAAAAGGGAATATTGAAGAAGCTAAAGAAATAAAAGGGCTAAATCTAGTCTCCATTAAGGAAGACACTGTCTTTAGAAGCAGACACCCAAGAAACAATGGTAGCAGGCTAGACTTACATTCAATTGGAAAAAAAAGCCCACTGTACCTAGACACATCAATCAGCGTGTCAATGCTCAAGAAACTTATGTAGGGAATTTAAATTTTTTTAAACTATTGGCCAAGGCTTCTTACCAAGTTAGAAAGAAACACTAGAGACATGGGGGGTAGACACAGACTTGCGCATACAAATTTCAGTTTGGCTGAGGCAACTCCAGACCAAGTACAAAGAACCTTCTGGACAATACAATCTGACATCTGAAAAGACATGTCACAACTAACTGACACCCGGACATTCTTTAGAGGGATGAAAGGTCACATGAATGTGAATTCTAAACTTAAAAAGCCTCAGGCACAGTTTCATACCAAAGATTGTTTTTAGAAAATTGAATGGACATGATATTTCTAGATCTATTTAGTCATGGATCAGAGCTAGCTTAGAATAAGAAGAAAAAATATTAATAATGAGTCCTGTGGGGTGGGAGCTGGGATCAGGGCTTAACATTTTCACCCTCACTCAGGAAAATTGAAGATTAGATTTACAGATGACACCAAGCCCTTCTGGACAGTGAAATGTCAAGCTGCCAGAGCATAGACGGCTGGCAAGGTGGCATGAATAGGAAGAAAAGTGGTGGAAAGAGATGAAAGAGGGCAAGTCTGAGGTCATTTCTGAAATGGACTTGAAGTTTTCTGTTCACAGATCCAGGAATTAATGTAAAGACACCACCTGCTTCACATAGTGCTGCCAGCACAGGACAGACCTGAACGCCATCAGTAAAAGCATCAGAGACCAGAGAAGCCCTCCTTTTCCTGAATAACTCTGCTGAGAATGAAGCTTGAGGTAGAGTTTACTGTGTGCCAAAAAATACAGCCTCCTGAAGAGGTGGAAGAAGAGGCAGAAGGAGCCTGACAGAAAAGGTCAGAGAGACATCTCCCCTGCTGTGTGTGGAAAGAGGGGGCAGCCAGGCCAAAGGACTTAGAGCCAGGGAGAGAGGACAGGGACCTGCTCACAAAGAGCACTTAATCTGGGCCAAATAGTAAAGAGTCCCTGATTTCACATTGTGAGCAGTTTATGGATGCTGATACCTTAAGGAGTAAAAATAAACATTGGTTCAAAAAGTATGGATGAATTTGTAGGTGACTACTCCATCCCAGATTACTAGGGAGGTCTCCAACCTCTGGTGACTGATGACCTCAACAGTAATTTTTCCATTGCTCTTCATCACGATCACTGTTGTCAAGGGACTTTGTCCACCCACCCACCCATCTTTCCTTCATTTATCCATCCATTCATCTATCATTTCCCATGTATCTTATCAGTCTCTGCCTATCTTTATAAAAATAGTCCTTTGTCAGACATGGTTTTCCTGCCTCTAACTTTCATTTAATACATCAATACATAAAGTACCTTTTCAACTTTTTAATCCCCTTTTTAATTCCCTTTTGAGACAAGGTCTCATACATGAAGCTGGCCATGAACTTGTGATCCTCCTGTCTCTACCTCCAAGCACTAGGATTTACATGACTTACACTCCAGGTTCTTTAATCCTTTCTATCTGTACCTGTTATTCCAGCATATGGACCATCTTTATATAACCAGAGGACAGTACTTCCTCCCACTTTTTCCATCTGTAGTAACAGACTACAAACACGTTAAAAGTTAGAAACAGAAAATAAAATATAATCAACCCCTTCCCCAATTAAATTACCCAATTCAATAACAACCCCCTTGAGTCTACTGCAGAGGCTGTAGCCCATCTACACACTCTCTCTGGGGCTAGAGGGGGAGAGCAACATAACAGCCCCAACTCCAGATGAATTCTTTGCCTGAGATTAGAGGAGGAAGATCTCCACACACCAAGGAAATGCTTCTATTGTTCAGTCTGCTCCTGCTCCTGATGCTTCTGGCAAACATTAAGGATTTGATCAATTATTATGACTTCTCCTGCAGTCATTTCTGTAAGTCCAAATATACTCAAATCACTTCAGTCATAACCAGAAGAAATGTTGAGCTTGCCGCTTCCAATAGCTTTTTAATGACACCTCCTATTTCTTTCCCTCATTAAATCCACCTTATTTATCACACTGGCACCCTTGCTGTGAACCCCAACAACTTTGCCAGCTCACATCCTTACACTGTCTTTGGAGAATCCCACAATACCCACCATGGACCCACTTACTCTTCCTAAATCTCTCCTAAGTCACTAAAGTCGTTATCTTGAACTCTTCTTATGTCTAAGAGTCAACTGTCATTGTCCCCCCACCCCCAATACTTCTTCCCACTTATGAGACTGTCATACAAATCTATGAGTACATCTTCTTACTTGGCCAGCTCTCTCTTCTCATCCTCAATGGCATGGATGGCTTTCTTCTCCAAGCTGCGGAATGATGGGCGAAGGCAGTACAGCTTGTAGTCGCACAGGCAACACGGGTAGTAGAGGTCACACAGGCCACAGGAGCATGAGCGCTTCGAGTAGCAGAGGCAGTAGGGGTAGGGGTGCAGCTCACAGCAGCAGTATGGGTGCATGTACAGGTCACACAGGCAGCGGGAGCTGACTTCGTCGATACATCGCAATTGCCTTAATTCTCTGTCCACCTTCTTTATGTCCTTTCTAACACTGTCCAAAAGACAACCCAGTGCAGCCATTATGGTCACACCGTAATGTTCTGTGAGTACCTTTGGGAAATGGCACTCAGAGGAAAAAATTGTTCTAAGCTCTTCTCAGAGGCCTCCTTTAAAATTAAATGAGGCACACATGATTCACTTACTTTAAAGCTGGTGTTCTGTGACCTCACCCACCCTCTAAGTATGTCATAGTCTCCTGGTTACCATGTCAACTGCACAGTCATGGTCCTCAGAGAACCCTCCTCAGCATTAAAGAGATACTCCCTGAACCATACTAACATGGTTCTTTGGGGTTCATGGTACTAACCTTTAATGTCCTTGACTTGTATGTGTTCAGAGGACAAGCCAGGGCTGTGGCTGGTTTTGGTCTTGTGGAAATTTCAGAGGCTGCCTGAACTGCCTGGCTCTGGTCTCTCTCTATGCCATTTTAGCTCTAGCCCTGAAGCAAGGCTTAGTCTTGTTCTAAGATTCATTTTGGTTTCAGACAAATAGACTGGGGAGAACTTTCCTCTAGGTCTTTTGACCGAGTCAGCCTCAAGTCTTTGTTCTTGGCCACCTCAGTCCCAAGTTTCTGAGCATTTTCTGTCATTTTAATTTGTCTTGGTACTAAGGATCAAACCCAGGGCCTTACACATCTTAGACAACTGCCCATCATTTGTTCTGGCATCCCAGGAAGTGGGGTGGAGCTTAAGCTCCCATCTCCTGCTGCTCAAGGTGCCCCTTAGTTGCCATCTCCCAGCAGGGACACCTCTGGTCTTGTATCTAAACCTCTAGGTGCCTGGTCCCTGAGTGCTTCTCAAATGTTGGTCCTGATACCCTTATCATTATTCCTGAACTCTGCTTTACAGTGTCCCTGGCTCTAATTTGGATCAATCTCCTGGACACAGCCTCAGACTTGGCTTGTGGCACTTCTTCTATGCTTCTGGCCATCAAACCATTTCCAGCTCTCAACTTCCCTTTCCATGAACTAAGACCTAGGGAGGACACATGAGGACAAGCAGTTAGATGTGATATGGAGAGGGAACTAGGGGCCAGGTTTGATAGCCATGGTAAGGAGCTTGAACTTTTGACTTCAGTGAAGGACCACTGATTATCTTTCCCACTGATAGATATTGAAAAGTAGGTCAGAACTAGTGACGACGAGACGCAAGGGGATGGCAGTAGAGGCGTCTCATGCTGCAAAGGAAAAGTTAAGGAAAGTCGGCTGGGGACTGTGGATACTGGAAGAACAAGAAGGAAACCAATGGACTTATTCCCCCTTCACTCCACTCAAAATTCACCAATCTGTCCTCTCCACATTGTGAGACTGATTTTGCATACATATCTGTTGTCCCTCAGGGTCTCTCTCCTTCTTCTTGCCTTAAAAGTCCTTAGTCCCGAGTTATTAAAAGAAGTTCTTAGTCCTTAGTCTTCTTAAAAGAGCTAGAGAAGAGCGAAACCTCACGAGGGGCTGGCAATAGGGCCTCTGCCTCCCTCCCCAATCTCTTCGCCCATCATTAACAATGACATTTCCCCCTCAGCTACACCCGCCTTCCCAGAAAGCTGCTCACTCACTCACTGGAAGGCCATTCCTCACTCTTTCCACCTCATTCGGACTTAAACGTAGTTGTTCTGCCTGCTTGAAAGTTGAATTCCCTGTCCCAGATCCCACATCTAGTTCATTACTGAGGCATTCTTTATAGCAACTCTTATAAGCTTGTTCTTTGGGAAGCCTTCTCTGCCTGTCCAGCAAACACTCATAACTTCTGCACATTTGTTCCCTCCCTCCTTCTCCCCTTTCTCTCTCTCTCTCTCTCTCTCTCTCTCTCTCTCTCTCCTTTCTTCTTTCTTTCTTTCTTTCTTTCTTTCTTAATAAGGTATCATTAGCCCAGGTTGCCTTCCAACTCACTATATAGTTGAGAATGACCTTGAACTTCTGATCGTCCCACCTGAGTGCTGAGATTACAGGTGTGTACCACCACATCTGGCTTACAAGGTGCTGGAAATTGAACTTAGGGCTGCATGCATACAAGGCAAGCACTCCATCCACTGATCTATACCTCCACTCTACATTTCATACATAACATTATTTGTTTCCCAAACTAGATTGAAGGCACATGGTATCTTTCAATTTTTGTTCACTAGTAGCTACCTAACACATCTGGCACATAGTAGGTACTTAAGATTTACACACTTAACAGCCAAGCAAATATATTAAACACAACTTAGTGAACAGAATGAGGATGAAATAGAGGAACTGGAAGTGAGTCCCAGCTGTGTGGCACAGAAGGAACTGCTAACAACTTTGAGACAGAAATGTGGAGGGGCCTATAAATAAGTGATTCTGGAATGCAGGGAAAGGCAGACAGGAAATATAAACTAGGTAGTTACAATTCCATAAACAGGGGCTGGAGAGATGGTTCAGTGGTTAAGAGGACCCAGGTTCAGTTCTCAGCACCTACATGGCAGCTAACAACCATCTGTAATGCCATTTCCAGGAGAATTCAGCACTCTCTTCTGACCTCCTTGGGCATTGCACAACACAGGTGCCCTTACATGAAGGCAATACACTAATACACATAAAATAAAAATAATAAAGTATTTAAAAAACAATTCCATAAACATCTCAAATACTGGGACAAGATGGAAATAAACAACAAAGGAAGAGTAACCAGAAGTGAGGGTGTCAAAGAGCTCATGAAGGACTCTGAGAATCATCCCAGAGGCCAGAACCCCTAAGTTCAAGCTACTGTGAGTTGTCAGACCACTGGCTCAGTATTCCCCAGCCTTGATTTAGGAAACCAGTTTCTGTGAAGATGAAGCTCTTAGCAAAGACAGCAAGTATCCCTAGAGGTATTAGAATAAAAGGGTGGCCCTCTGAGGCACATGGAATGAATCAAACAGCACAGTTGAACAATGCTTTTCTATGAACACAAGCTAATGCCCTTCACAAGTGGCTCTATGCATTTCTGAAGTGTGGCCTCTCTTAGTGGGAACAGGGCCACTCTGTAGAAGTTAACTCTAGCACATATCCAGATTTTTCCAGCTCCAAGTGATAGACTTCTGAACTCTTATATCCCACTGAATTCCATGCCTTAGCAAATGTCAGCAAAGGTCAAAACAAACAAGCTCAGTTTTAACTTGTTAGATACACAGGTTCCTGAGCTTGAATACACACATCTAAATCTGTACCATGTACTATTAAGACAGTTATGGCTATATTTCAACTATGATTCTCCCATTGTCTCACCTTTCTAGTGATTTCACTCTTTCATTATGAAATATATTCTTGACATCCCCAAATGACTAAATAAATTTAGGGCTTCCTTCAAAGATCTAATGGAGCCTGTTGTGATGGCACATGCTGGTAGAATATGCTTGAAAGGTAGATGCAGGAAGCCACGAGCTCAAGGCCAGCCTGGGCTACACCTTTTCTTGGCATAATGGTGTACACTCTTAATCCCAACACTCTGGAGGCCAGAGGCAGGTAGATCTTTGTGAGTTGGGGGCTAGCATGCTTAACATAGTATGTTCCAGGCCTACAAAATAAAACCCTGTCTCAAAACAAAGAAAAACAAAACAAGACCAGAGAGAGGCAGAGAGACAGAGAGACGTGGGGCGGGGGGAGAGACTTGATGGAATTATGATCTATTTGTGTCAGAAGGACATGGCTGAAATTCATTAGAATCTGCTAAGAACTCTTAAGGACGATCTACAGGCACAACCACTTGAAGTATAAACACAGTCATTTCCATGGGCTCTAATACAGAGGTGGGGGCTGTTCCTTACATAAGGTTTCATCCATGGAAACACCCACCTATGTTGGCTGGTGTCTAGATAGACACTCAAGTACTTGCTTGGTCCCCATCATTAGCAGAATTACGTGCCTTTTGGGGTCCCCTTTGCCTCCTCTACCAGGTATAACAGGAGCAGGTCAAGTCCACTCAGTGTTACAAAGGAATTCTTCCAGTGGTGCTGGGATCAATCCACAGTGTGTAAACATTAAATATAAAACTATTCACAAAACATGGCCTTAATTCTGTAGATAAACATCTAAGGTAAGGGGCTAGAGAGATGGCTCAGTGGTTAAGAGCACTGACTGCTCTTGCAGAGGACCCGGGCTCGATTCCCAGCACCCACGTGGCAGCTACAAACCATACTTAACTCCAGTCCCAGGGGAATCTGAAGCCCTCTTCTGACCTCCATAGCATATGTGCATGGAATACACTCATACACATAAAATAAAAATAATAAATAAAATATTTTTTAAAAAAAAAAATCTAAGGTGAAAACTACCCTAAAATTTACTATGGTTATTTCTGAAAAGATACAGAAGACTTTAAAAATTCTCCTTTCTAGGGCTAGGAGTACAGTCCAGTAGTGGAACTGTAAGTGAGGCTCTGGGTTCAATCCCAGCACCCCTCCAAAAAACAAACAAAATAAAACCTTACCTATTCTAGACTTTTTCTTCTAAATTTATTGTCTAAATTTATACTGAGAGTATTGTCAATTTTATAATGAAATCCTCTTTAAAATTGTTATTATTGTATGTGCATGATATGATGTATGTGTATGGGCACATGTGCCGTGACACACATATGGAGGCCAGAGGACAACTTTGTGGGGTAGGTTCTCTCCTTTCACCTTTATGGAGATTCCAGGGATTGAACTTAGGTCACCAGGATTTTGTGGTGAGGATTTTACCTACTGAGTCATTTTGCCAGAATGCTTTTGACGTTGTATGTCTAGCACCCTTTATATTTTTTTAAAATTTTATTTATTTATTTTTTATGTGTATGAGTGTTATGCCTGAATGTGTATAAGTGTACCCACGTCATGCAGTGCCTGTGGAGGACAAAAGAGGGCATCGTCGGATCCCCTGGAACTGGAATTACAGATGGTTGTTAGTTGCCATGTAGGTGCTAGGATTCAAACCTGAGTCTTCTGCAAAAACAGCCAGTGCTCTTAACTGCTGAGCCATCTCTCCAGCCCCACTCTTTCCATTTAAAGCTCACCTTTGGCCCTATCTCAACAATCCAGCTGAGAGTCTAGGGAGATGGCTCAATGGATAAAGTGCTTGCCATGCAAACGTTAGGACTTGGCACCCACAAAAAAGCTGGTAGGCTTGACAGCCCACCTGTAATCCAAGGGCTTAGAAAGCAGAAACAGGAGGGTCCCTGGGCAAGATGGATATCTACACTAGCTGAATGGATGAGTTGCAGATTCAGCAAGAGACCCTGCAAAGTGGAGACCCTCAGCATCAATCTCTGGCCTCCACAAGAAGGTACACACGTATGCATGTGTACCTGCAAATGTTTTCCCACACGCATATGAAGATATATACACCACACCACACACACACACACACACAAACACTCATGGCCAGGTAAACTTTAAGGCTATCCTTCTGAGCAGGTCACTGGGGAAGTTCTGGTTTTGGGGTTTTTTTTTGTTTGTTTTTGTTTTTAGAGACAGGGTCTCTCTATAGGCCCAGATGATGGCCTGGAACTCACCATGTAAACTGGGCTGACCTCAAACTTGCAGAGATCCACCTGCCTCTGCCTCCCAAGTGCTGGGATTGAAGGTAGACACCACCACACCCAGCTTGGAAATCTTTTAGTAACATACATCTTTGGCCTGCCCATCATCCACAAAACCTTCTTTTAGTTAAATAACTCTCCTCTTCCACTCCCACTCTCCACCATTAGGCGTTGCCAGTAAAGTTGTCCAGGAAAATGTACAGGCACCCAAGCACAACTGACCAACCCTCCATCCTCCTGGAGCCTGATGTTTAGAAAGCAGGCACAGAGCCTAAAGATGGCTCTCATCTTCAAATTGGTCCTCAGCTTCTCTTTGGGTCTGGGAGCTCCTCCATATCTTTCCAATAAACTTGTCTTTTTCTTTCTTTTTTTCTTGTTCTGTGGGGTTATTTTTTTATATTTTGGTCTTTTTGAGACAGTTTCACTAGGTAGCCCAAGCCAGCCCAGAGCTCACTATATAAAAGCTCAAGCTGACCTTGAACTTAAGAAAATCCTCTTGCTTCAACAGAACTCCCCAGTGCTAAGATCACAGCATGTGCCACCATGCCCCTGTTTCTTTTACCGAAAGATGCCCACTGAGGCACTGGGCATGCATGGTGGCATGTGCTGGGATTTTAGCATTTCAGAGGTGCTGTAGAAGGATCCTGAGTCTGAGGCCAGTTTGGGCCACATAGCAGCAAACCTTGGTGCCTGGTGTGGTACAGGCCTATAACCCCAGCTACTTCAGAAGCTAAAGCAGGAGAGCAGAAAGTTCAAGGTACCTGGGCATCTCAGCAAAACCCTATCTCAAAATAAAAAGCAAAAGAGCTGGAGATACAGCACATTGATAGGTTCAATCCTTAGTACCAGAAAATTAAAAGAAAAAATTACTTCCAAAGCAGAACCCAACCAGGATGACAGCCTGTCCCCCTTGACCTTCTCACAGAAGGACTACTCCAGGCTGAACTTGTAGGTAGGTCAGCTGTTGTTCCAGGGGACATTATCTCCTATGAGCCCAGCCACTCCACCTCAGCTCAGATCTTGATGCATGGGGGGCAGCTATCACACTAGAGGCCTGTGGGTGTGAGACAAGGCTGGTGACTCATACATGGGAAAATGATAGAAAATGCCAGGAAGACCATCTAAGAACAGCATCCCTAGGGCAAGAGAAGTTTCCCTATGGTCAGACCTCAGAACTTCAGCTATGGAAAAGGTCTCATTCAAACCAGTCTTCTACTCAGTAGAGACTCTTTGCTGGGCACCCTGGACAGATGAGCCTGTAAGACAGGGCTCGTACAGCCATGAAAGTGCTAAGGTGTCCACTTATTGTTTGAATGGCAGTGCTCTATGAATAACTACTTGGGCGTGTCATTTTGGCTTCCTCTAATCTTTTAGACCAATGAGACTTTAAAACAACATTTCATTTATGATTGTTTGTGTTTGTGTGTGAGCACACATGTGCTGCAGTGCCTGTGTGGAGGTTTAATAAGTTACAGGAGACAGGTCATATCTCTCCTTTCTCCATGTGGGTCCCAGGGATCTGACTCAGGTTGTCAGGTTTGGCTGCAAGCACCTTTACCCACTGAGCCATCTGGCATTCCCACATGGGGTCTTCAACAAATATCTTCCTGTTAAATAAGTAGGGGGTGGGGATGGAGGAGAGGAAGACAAGGCATATCGCTGTCGATCCTGACAGGGTTCAAGTTCTGCAACCCCAACAGTTGCTTTTGTTGGGTTAGGTCTGAGAGCACAAAAGCAGCTCAGAATATATCTTTCTTTTTCTTTTGGCAAATCTGATCACTGAGACATTGAAGAGTCATGGGCGTTTTATACATCAAATAAACATGAGGTATTTCTTTGTTAAGATTTTAGAAGCAGGGGCTGGAGAAATAGCTCAGCAGTTAAGATCACTGGCTGCTCTTGCAGAAGACCTGGGTTTGATTCCCAGCACCCACATAATGGCTAACAACTGTTTGTAACTCCATTTTCAGGGGAATCTGACCCCTTCTTCTGACTTCCAAGGGCATTGCATGATATGGGTGCAGTTACATACATGCAGGCAATACACTCATACACATAAAATAAAAATAATAAGATTTGAGAAGCAAAGCTAGGCATGGGGGTACATGCCTGTAATCCTAGCACTTGGGAGGTAGAGGCAGGATCAGGTGTTCTAGGTCATCTCTGGCTACATAGTAAGTCTAGGTTAGCCTGGTTATATGAGATCCTATCTCAAAACAAAAAATTGAAAAACAGAAAAGAACAAGGTTGGTACATGAACATAAGGAAACAGAGGGTTTCTGGTCACTCAGAACTTGCTTATTTGAACTTGCAACAATGATGACAGTATGTACAAGATCCATGCTGACTCAATTAGACCAAAACCCAGCACAGACCTAGGGAAAATGGGCATCAGGCCCCAACCCTAGTCTAGGAACTATTGACAACTGATTACTGCTGGGTGAGGGAGCGCAGATCTTCTTTAAGGGAATGACTCTGGAGAGGCTGACTAGACTCCAGTGGATGAACTTGCACTGAGGGACATCTGGGTACAAATGCTTGACTGGATAGGACTTAACATATATTACAGAATGCATGAAATCTGGTGGGGAAGGTATGGGGGGATGCAGATTGGGGGCATGTCTAAATTTGATTAAGATCAATTATATGAAATGCATAAAAAATCAATAAAAATATTTAAAAAAATAGTTTTAAAAAAAAGATTTGAGTAGTAGATGGGGTTTTAGGGTGACTAACTACTCTGGTTTGCCAAGCATGAACACGTACCTGGGGTGCAAATCAATGTTGTCCCTTCTGGCTCTAAAGGTGGCAGAAGACTTATTCTGAGCTCTGGGTTCTTTGTGATAACTGTCACTTCTAAAGAGACACCCATCTTTATTTGTCCCTTCTACTTCTCCCTTTCAATCTCACAAATTCTCCAAGAAAAAAAAAGTGTTAACAGTGGCCTGGATTGTTCTTGGTAAGGACAACAGACCTGAAAATATCCTTGAATTTTACACTAAATTCATTTAAGCATAAGCGCAGGTGCTCGTGTTCCAAGGTTTGCTTCTTTGCTATACGGTGACCATTAATAGCTCGAGAGGCATTTTCAGATTCCTAGCACTACCAGACCCTGCCTGCCTCTTCCTAGTTGCTTACATGAATGACATCCCATCTTTAATGAATAGTTGAATCTACCAGGCTAACCCTCACAACAGCCCAAAGAAGTGCAGCTACTATTAATCCCACTTTATAGATGAGGATACCAGTACAGTGTACACAAGAGGTGGCAGAGCTGGGGCTCCCCCTTTGCACTCCCCTTCCAATCTCTGTCCTGGAACACTAATGATCCTTGAGAAGAAAATTTCTCTTGACTTTTCCTTTAAAGATGCAAGCAGATTAAACTTGTACATTAAGGGAAAATGGATATAGTTCCGTGGTAGAGCACACAAACAGGTATAAGACCCAGGGTTTGATTGATTGAGAGAGAGAGAGAGAGAGAGAGAGAGAGAGAGAGAGCATTCTCTCACGTGGCCCAGATCACTCATTTTGTTGGGAAGCATGAATTATCAATACTCACCAGATTCAGACCAAACATTCCCACAAGGGAAAGAGTATCAGCCTTTGAGTCCAGAGCTAACTGCACAGGAAGTGGCTTTTCAACCTGAATCTTCTACTTCAGACTGGGATTGTATTTAACCCAAACTCAGAGACTGAAACCCTGTTTACTTAATGTTCTGTCTGACTCAGCTTTCCAGGGAAAGCTCCTAGCAACTGAGATGCATTCAGGTTCCAACTCTCCACTCCCTGCTGGAGCCTGAATGTCAGAATGGGGTAGAGGAGCTGGAAAGATGCCAAGTCCCACCTTTGAGTTGAGGAACTGGCCTGCCCAAAGAGGAAGAAACAGAAACCGAGGGGAGTATGGATTCTGTCTGCTGAGTCTTATTCAGTGACTGTGGAAAGTTCTTGGTTTCAGGACTACATTATATTCCACAAGTACCAAGGACCTCAAAGAGCTTTTATAACGTGAATTTTATTGACCAATACCACATTAGAAATTATAATCGAGGGCTGAGGACATACTAAAGTATTTGTTTGCCTAGCATTCACACGGCCCTGGGTTCAATCTCTAGCATTGAAAAAAATTAAAACAGGAATTTATAAAATATGTATTCATTTAAGAACTAATAATAACAAAGGAGAGCATGGGGGTGCATGCTGGTAAGCCCGATACTCTGGAGACTAGATCAAGAGTTCCAGACCAACCTGAACTATATAGACTGTCTCAAAAAGCAGAAGAAAGAAAAGACAAAACAAAACCCTAACACTAGCAAAACCCACTACATGTGAAAACCAATGATATTTATCTTAAAATATTAGATTTTTTAATCTTCTTATTTTATTTTTACAGCACTGGAGTTTGAATCTGGGGTCTCACACGTGTCAGAGAAGCACATTACCATTGCAGCTCTATACCTGGCTATAAATGATATTTTATGTGTGTGTGTGTGTGTGTGTCTGTGCACATGCGCACACGCACATGTGTATGCATGTGCATGAGAGTGTGGAGGCCAGAGATCAAGGACAGGTATTATTCTTTGGGATACCTACCGATCATGATTTTTTTTAAATATCTTATTATTTTTATTTTATGTGTATGAGTATCTTGCTTGCATGTATGTAAGTGCACCCATGTTGTGCAATGCCTGTGGAGGTCAGAAGAGGGCATTGGATCCCCTAGAACTGGAGTTACAGATGGTTGTTAGCCATCATATGGGTGCTGGGAACCAAACTTGGGTCCTCTGCAAGAACAGCCAGTGCTCTTAAGTGCTGAGCCTGGAGCTCACCAATTAGGAGAGGCTGGCCAGCTGAGCTTCAGGAATTCTCTAGTTTCCCCCAAACCCTCAGTGTTGGAGTTAAAGATGCATATCACTTCACTTGGTTTTTACATGGGTGTTAGGCAGCCAAACTCAGGTCTTCATGTCTGTGCAGCGGGCACCTTAATTACTAAGTCATCTCCCCAGCTTCCTTACCCTGCCCCCACCAAAGATATTTTTTGATGGGAACTGAATTTTTTAAAAAAAAATTTGAACAGGGGGCTGGAGAGTGGCTCAGCAGCTAAGAGCACTGATTGCTCTTGCAGAGGATCCAGGTTCGATTCCCAGAACCCATATGGCGGCTACGAACCATCCTTAACTCTAGTTCCAGGGGAATCCGAAGCCTTCTTCTGACCTTCATGGCATTGCACAACACAGGTGCACTCACATACACACAGGCAATACACTCACACACATAAAATAAAAATAATAAATAAAATATTTTTTAAAAGTGTAATATTTTATTGATTTTTGAGAATTTTATAAATGTATTTTGATCATGTTCAGACCCCTCCCACAGAACTCATCCCGC